CTTGTTTTATTGATTGCATGTAATAATCTACTTTTTTGAGGTTGTGGATTTGGGGTTCTTGGGGTTTTCATGAGCTGTAAGCCATAATCATCACAATTATGACAAATCACGGCTTGAATTATCTTGCTTTGCATGTAATGAGTCTCTCTCATATATTAGTTTCACCTTTTAAGTTGCATTAGTGAAATAAATGAACTTTGCACGATATTCTAATTATTCGAGTTTCACCTGTATATGTGATTTTGCAAGTGCATAATTAAAGTGGAATTCAAGCAAAGATCATGTTTAGTTTTGGATGGAATACTGAAGTTAGAACCTTTCAGGTTTTATTACTGCATCTGTATTGGGGAAAACATTCCCTTCTGTTGATTACACACAGACCAGCCAGCGCCTCTGTATTTGGGCCTTGAAGTCATTGCTATCCACAGTGGGCCCCATTTGAACTGAGAACTATGGGATACAGCTTAGTAACAGTGATGGGCGGGCCAAATGATGGTGTTCCCAGTACAAAACCATGCCGTATCTATTTGGCACCATGAAAGAGAGCCCACCTCTGTGATGCCACACATATATACACACCATATTGCCAAAAGTATTCGGACACCCCTCCAAATCATTGGATTCAGGTGTTCCGTGAAATTTCCTTGCTACTAAATTTTCCACTGTCACCTGTTAGTGGGATTATAACAAAGTGGCAGCAACTGGGAACAACAGCAACTCCAGCCATGAAGTGGTAGGCCACAAAAAATGACAGAGCGGGGTCAGCGCATGCTGAAGCGCACAGTGCACAGAAGTCGCCAACTGTCTGCAGAGTCAATAGCTACAGACCTCCAAACTTCGTGTGTCCTTCAGATTGGCACAACAACAGCACCCTGGGGATCCCAAGGGGTGGAAGAGGAGGGCAGGAGCCCAGAGCGGGGATTTAATGCACCCGTTCCTACCCAACATTTAGAGAGCATTGGCCATTAAAGCCCAACCCGGAGCACAAATAAGTGTAGTGTTATTAAATTAGTTGAACACTCTGTTTCCTCTGAAGCCGCCTACCATATGATACACTTCCTTCATCATGCAAATTTTCTTCTTTACATGTAGGCGGAAGTCCAGCTCCCAATGTAATTCCAGCCTGCTTGGCTGTAAATGCTGCCGGTCTCATAGACCTCAGTGCTGCGGTTGGACCTTTGCCTCCTCCTGCCTATTCACAAAAACAAAGCCATGGGGTGTGTGTTTTGTAAAGGGTAAGAAAGAGAGGGGGTGACCAGTAAGTACAGCAGGAGCTGGACTTCCAGACATATGCAAATAAGAAAACTTGCAGAGTGCAGAAAAAAAAAGTGTACAATATGGCAGGTGGCTTTAAAGGAGAACTATGGGGTCAGGGCTTTTCCCCATAGTTCTCCTGAGGGTAACGGGAGGACATGAACTAGCATCCTCCCGTCACCCAAAGCTCAGTATACCGCGAGATACAGCTCACGGTATACTGAGACGTCGCAGCTGAAACGGACCCCGACAATTATGTCTGTATCCACCCAGCTGAGTGAGTGACAGCTGGCTCTGCCTATCTAGAGGCAGAGCCAATATCTTGCTTTGCATGTAATGAGTCTCTCTCATATATTAGTTTCACCTTTTAAGTTGCATTAGTGAAATAAATGAACTTTGCACGATATTCTAATTATTCGAGTTTCACCTGTATATGTGATTTTGCAAGTGCATAATTAAAGTGGAATTCAAGCAAAGATCATGTTTAGTTTTGGATGGAATACTGAAGTTAGAACCTTTCAGGTTTTATTACTGCATCTGTATTGGGGAAAACATTCCCTTCTGTTGATTACACACAGACCAGCCAGCGCCTCTGTATTTGGGCCTTGAAGTCATTGCTATCCACAGTGGGCCCCATTTGAACTGAGAACTATGGGATACAGCTTAGTAACAGTGATGGGCGGGCCAAATGATGGTGTTCCCAGTACAAAACCATGCCGTATCTATTTGGCACCATGAAAGAGAGCCCACCTCTGTGATGCCACACATATATACACACCATATTGCCAAAAGTATTCGGACACCCCTCCAAATCATTGGATTCAGGTGTTCCGTGAAATTTCCTTGCTACTAAATTTTCCACTGTCACCTGTTAGTGGGATTATAACAAAGTGGCAGCAACTGGGAACAACAGCAACTCCAGCCATGAAGTGGTAGGCCACAAAAAATGACAGAGCGGGGTCAGCGCATGCTGAAGCGCACAGTGCACAGAAGTCGCCAACTGTCTGCAGAGTCAATAGCTACAGACCTCCAAACTTCGTGTGTCCTTCAGATTGGCACAACAACAGCACCCTGGGGATCCCAAGGGGTGGAAGAGGAGGGCAGGAGCCCAGAGCGGGGATTTAATGCACCCGTTCCTACCCAACATTTAGAGAGCATTGGCCATTAAAGCCCAACCCGGAGCACAAATAAGTGTAGTGTTATTAAATTAGTTGAACACTCTGTTTCCTCTGAAGCCGCCTACCATATGATACACTTCCTTCATCATGCAAATTTTCTTCTTTACATGTAGGCGGAAGTCCAGCTCCCAATGTAATTCCAGCCTGCTTGGCTGTAAATGCTGCCGGTCTCATAGACCTCAGTGCTGCGGTTGGACCTTTGCCTCCTCCTGCCTATTCACAAAAACAAAGCCATGGGGTGTGTGTTTTGTAAAGGGTAAGAAAGAGAGGGGGTGACCAGTAAGTACAGCAGGAGCTGGACTTCCAGACATATGCAAATAAGAAAACTTGCAGAGTGCAGAAAAAAAAAGTGTACAATATGGCAGGTGGCTTTAAAGGAGAACTATGGGGTCAGGGCTTTTCCCCATAGTTCTCCTGAGGGTAACGGGAGGACATGAACTAGCATCCTCCCGTCACCCAAAGCTCAGTATACCGCGAGATACAGCTCACGGTATACTGAGACGTCGCAGCTGAAACGGACCCCGACAATTATGTCTGGATCCACCCAGCTGAGTGAGTGACAGCTGGCTCTGCCTATCTAGAGGCAGAGCCAACTGTACCGCCCCCCTCCCCCGTCCGTTCCGCCAGTCAGCGCTGGAGGATCGGAGCAGGGAGGGGGGAATCCAGTCCCTTCCCTGTCACGGCTCTCTGCAGTGACAGAATCGAGAAGTGAGTGAACGCCGGTATGTGTTCGCTCACCTCCCGATCTACTGAGCCGACCTGTGACAGTCTCATTGTCACAGGTCGACTAGAACTATGAGGATGAGTGAAAAGCACTCAGCTCATAGTTCTTTTAAGTGAAACAGAATTTTAACTCCAGTTTGCTTATTGTGCCCAGATTTGGCCTTTAATTTTTAGCATCTGCATCAACTTCGCTTTAGTAACTAGTCATGGGGACACAGCAATGACAGACTTATTTTAATAGAGTGCGGAAGAGCTAGAACGTTGACCATCATGTCACTTTTGTCTGTGTTCCTGTCCCACTGACAGGAAATAAGGGGCACATCTGAAGACCTAAACAAGAAACACATGGCAGAGGCTTTGATTTGTCACCACTCAATCCAAAACCTACAAATCTGTTTGGCAATACACCAGCATTCTGTGAATAGTTTGCAGAGGCATCATCAGCACCGCTCCTTGTAACTCCTTCACAGGCTGCATTCTCCACAACACTGTTTTGGTTTAGAAAGCAGCTGCTTTCATAAGGTATTGATTAGGGTTGCACAGATACTAGTATTGGTATCTGTGCCGATACCGAGTATTTGGGTGAGTACTCCTTGCCCAAATGTTCCGATGCCTAGCCCGATACCTCCTGTATCAGGAAGCCGGTTCCATGCTCCCTTGTCACTTGTGACGAGAAAGCATGGAGCCAATCAGGAAGCCGGGCAGCGTGTAATGACACCCTGACCGGCTTTCTGAATGGCCGAGAAGCCGGCTTCATGCTCCCTCGTCACCTCATGGCTTCCTGGCCAATCAGGAAGCCATGATCCATGTCATTACACAACGTCCGGCTTACATGATTGGCCAGCAAGCCGGCTCCATGGTTTCTCGTCACATAGTGTCGAGAGGCATGGGGACGGCTTCCTTGCTAATCGGGAAGCCGGGTGGCGAGTCTTTACACGCCACCTGGCTTCCTAAATGGGACTTCCGGTACTCGGTATTTGGTATCGGCAAGTACCGGAAAAAAAATATTGGTACTCGTTACCGAAATACCGGTATAGTATTGATCACTGCTCCAATAACACATTTGGAAGAGATGAAATACTGTCATATCTCAGATATTATAAATGCATGGGGGCACATGACCTATGACACACCACATAAGGAAATAAAGAACTTTACAAATACTCTGAACCCAACAATAAGGGACTTTGGGTGGGACAGAAATCTTGGTCATGGCTTCAACCGGAAAACACTTTTAAGGTGCCCATATACCTGCCGATTATCGTACTATAATCGCGGGTGATCCCGCGATCGAACGGGATCAGCGGGGGGGCTTGTGATCTGCCTGTCCAAGATGGGCAGATTGTACGAGCTTTTAATGACCTTACAACCATCGCATAACGAAAGACGTGCGATGGTTGTAAGGTGTATGGCCAGCTTTAGGCCACGTTCACATATAGCGACTTGTCACGCGATTTCGCGCATTTTTGCAGCGCGATATCGCGAGAAGTCGCCGGCCAATGCTATTCAATGGAGCTGTCTTAACTCCATGTCGCTCGTTGCTCGTCGCAAGTCGCTTCTACCGGACCCTTTTTTCGGCGGATTTTGCGCGATTTTGCTTTTTTTTTTTCTATGGAGCCCGACGGAGAAGGTCGCGCGACCGTCGCTGGATCGTCGCCCCGAAAGTCGTGCTATCCCGGCCGCTGCAAAGGTATGTCGCTATATGTGAACGGGGCCTTAGGCTAATCCCAACAGGGCTACAGGGGGTGGCTGCATCAGTGACTGAGAGATTAAAGAAATTTAGAATTGATGTTTTGTAACTGCTCTCTCGGAAAAAAGAAATGCGGAGTGAAGACAGTTAATAGATTATGTGGTGTAGAAGCGGCCAGACGGCCTCCAGGCTGGTTTGAAGGACTCTAAATACCTTTTCTTTCTTTTAACTGAGCGGGCAGAAAGATTTCCCTGACTGACCGTGGTCTGAGCTCCCGTGTTTTGTGTCGCACCTTGATTTCCTGCCTTACGCTGCATTTTCTTCTGAAAGGCCATAAGCCTGTCTAAGGTCTCGGAGTCCTCCACACGCGGCTGGATTATGCTCAGCCTCGACACAGCCTCGTGGATGTAGTCCAGAACAACCGGAATGATGCTCACTATGCCGCCATAAAAGTTACGTGCTTCGTCACAGCTGAGGTGATTCACAACATCATGAGGATACCTATGGTAGAAACATGACAGATGTATGATTAAAGTACATTATTCAGACTGCCCTGAGCTAGCGATGTATGTTTGATTTTTCCATAGGCCCACATGAGAGGGAGAATCTAACTGCCATGGGCATTGAGAATGGGTATACTACAGGCAACATGAAAAATGACACTGAGCTGCATACAGGGAGCACCAGTACTGGACATAGTCAGCAATGGGCCCCCTATTACAGTTATAGGGAATGGTTAGAGCATAATGAAGAATATCTTTCTCAACTACCCTAGAAGTAGTGTCCAGGTCTATGTGACATCAGGAGTGCTTCTCAGCACTTGCCCTATAAACATTTTATTTAAATGGTCCCCCAAATCCTAGAGGAACCTTGTGCTGTTGCCAGGGGCAGATTCCCCACAAGGCCACCGAGGGGTGGCAGGGAGCAGAGGGGCGGCAGTGGTTTGAAGTCTCCCGACTTCCGGGAAGTGCAGTTGCGGGAGCCAGGCAGTAATTTGTGTTCTACATTTTGTCCTGCTTTGCCCCTCCCCCCCGCACCTACCTCTCTCCATGCTGGCTCCGTCCTCCCGCCGCCGCCGAGTATCTCTCCTCGCTGGCCGCCGACGTCTTCAGGATGGAGAGCAGCGAGCAGAGTGGCATGGTTAAAACTAACCCTGCCGCTCCGTGTATACAGTGAGAGGGGAGAGCAGTCTTCCCCTCTCAGCTGTCACAGGAGTTCCAGCACAGTGCTGTGCTAGAACCCCTGTATTGGAGGTGACACGTTCAATAAAGAGAACCTGTCACCTCCAATTGCTATCACACAGTGGATTGTTAGCTGCTGTGTGATAGCAATAAATGTAAGTGAAAAAAAAATTGATTAAAAAAATGACAAATAAAAAAATAAGTAAAAAATAATAAGTAATAATTAAAGTAAAAAATAATAAGAAAATAATTATAAATAAAAAAAACAAGATAAAGAAAATTATCAAAAATAATACAAGTAAAAGATTACAAGATAAATTAAAATTTAAAAAAGGAATTTAAAAAAAAGTGATAAAAAAGGAAAATAAAACAATAAAAAAAATTCAAAGTAACCCTGTCGCCTCCGCTATCCAGTTTTCATTCTCCACCCGGGGGGTGGTTGGGTGCTCGCACATTGAGGAACCCGGTCTTGGGGCAGCAGGGAGAGTAAATCCGGTCCTGAGTTTATAGGTCTTAAAGGTTAAAGGTTTGTGTTGACAGGCGTTGGTGTCACAGCTGCTTGTTTCCTCATACAAGTCACAGGGAACACAAAAGCAGCTTGAAGCTGGTCAATGCAGCTTAGAAGGAGGCCGTGCAGGTCAAATGAACCCGTCAGTAAACTCTGATTGGTCTTAGAAGCATGTCAAACTGATCTCCAATACATCTGAAGGCTTCATTTGCCCCTTGATACAGTCCCCAATACACTACAGGTCCTCTTTCATAAAGATGTCAATCCAAGATAACACCAGCACGCCATGTTAAGATGAAAAGACAGGACGTGGAGATCGACATTTCAAGGAAACTAAGGACCTTAGGCAGCAGTAACAGTGTCACCATCACTGCCTTGCTGGCCTCAAAATGTTGCTTCCTGTTGACAACAATAAAGCCTCCTGTCTTCTTATCTGAACATGGTATGTTTATGATATGTCAGATTGCGACCTATGTTGTGGTGGCGCCATCCGCCATTTTACTATCGAATCCTTCTATGAATGGGTCTAAATGCTGTATGGAGTGCGTTGGACTTTCATAAAGATGGACACCTGTTTTAGAAGCTTCTGGTGGAAGCTTCCAGCCTCTTAAAGGAAACCTATAAGAGACCCATCGAGGCTGCCATTGCTCATCAAACCTTTTCAAAATGCTTGTTGCCTGGCTGTCATTCTTATCCTTTGGCTCCAGTGCTTCCAAGGTCTCTGACTTGTGCCAATATAGAGATAAGGAATTCTGACACTTTTCAGACATTCCTTCCAAGCTCACTCCCGTGATGGACTACAATCTCAATAGAAATAAGTAAACTAAACATGAGATTGTAGTCCATCACAGGAGTGAGCTTGGAGCGGTGACTACTTTACAACATACACAGGGATCATGGGTCCATTGGTCGGCACCAATTCAGAGATGATTTGAGGGTTTACAGCCGTGTGATACCCAAATAAGATACATTTTCGTTAAAGGAGAACTATGGGGTTAGGGCTTTTCCCCATAGTCCTCCTAAGGGTAACGGGAGGACACAAACTAGCGTCCTCCGTCACCCTAAGCTCAGTATACCGTGAGCTACAGCTCGCGGTATACTGAGATGCAGCAGCTGAAGCGGATCCCGACAATTATGTCTGGATCCGCCCAGCTGCGTGAGTGACAGCTGGCTCTGCCTATCTAGAGGCAGAGCCAGCTGTACCCGCCCCCTCCCCGTCCGTTCCGCCAGTCAGCGCTGGCGGGGAGGGGCGATGCCGCTATGTGTTCGCTCACTTCCCAATCTACTGAGCCGACCTGTGACAGTCTCATTGTCACAGGTCGGCACGAACTATGAGCATGAGTGAAAAGCACTCACCTCATAGTTCTCCTTTAATAGTTGGGGTACTTAAATGTATTTTGAAGATCATCTCCTGAGTTTAGTGTCACTTTAACGAAGGTTTCCATCTACGTAATATAAAGCCTGGCATTTTCTGCCCTCACTTACTTTGCTCTTAGACCGGTCAGGTCAGTGGTTGGATTGAGAAGAGTAATGATTTGCTCTATGAGCCCGTTTGTTGTTCGGGTCTCATTCTGCATGGATTGCAGCTGGACGCAGAACTCGGCCAGATCCGCACAGAAGTCCAAGAACAGAGTGAGGATCCGGCGATCTGTGCTGTTGTTGCAGTTGTTGTCTAAGTAGTCGCGTACCTGTAAATAAATATATGAATTACTAAGAAATAGGGCCACGTAATCCCCTGTACTGCTCCCACTGCCATCCCTGCCATCTGTTTTACAAGAAACGATACTGGCAGGGTTTTTTTTTATTTTCACTGCACCTAACCTAGCAATTCAAGTAGAACTGAAGACAATCTTTTTTTTTTTTTAGTTTTGGATAGAGTAAGGAAGGGTTATATTCCCTCTCAGCTTTTTTTTTTGCCATCTGTGTCCTATAGAGGAGATTTCCCTTCACTTCCTGTCCAATAGCCACAGCAGGAAGTGAGAAGAAACCCTGGTGCTTAGCAGGGTCACCAGCATAACTAATGTCCCCATTGGAAGATTTCCCATTTATTCCTGCTCTTGTGACAACCCAAAAGTTTGGATTAGCTTTCACTTCCAGTGATATCGGTCACCAGGACAAATAGAGGGGTAAATCTCCCTAAGACAGCAATAAAAACCTGACAGGTGTTCTGAGCCCTGTCCACTCTACCCAAGACAACAAAAACGTTTTGGCTTCTGTTGCACTTTAAGTGAGTCCCTTTAAAATAGGGTAGACACAGAATGGGGGTAGACACATGCAGAGGCATCACAAGGGAGGTGTGGCCCTCACCCGGGTGACACCATTGCTGGAGGGGTGACACCAAAATGACTGACAGTCATTTAGGTGTCACCCCCTTTTAAAAGTCGGACACTCTGTCATGGACCGAGAGCGTGACATTGTCAGGAGAGAGAAGAGGACCCGGCGGCACACCTCATGCGGGGTGGCGGGGCGCATTGAGGAACTTGACCTTGGGGCAGCAGAATCCGGCCCTGCATCCGCGATGATGTCACTGTGGGGTGTCACCCGGCCTCGGGACGCCTCTGGACACATGTCATTGTCACCATGTTTCCATTCTAGGGCTGAGGAGAGCTTATCTTAGAGCAGGGTTAGTAACTCCGGCCCTCTAGCTGTTTTGGAACTACATGTCCCATGAAGCATTGCAAGACTGACAGTTACAGGCATGACTCCCAGAGGCACAGCCATGTTGGGGTTGCAGTTAAAGCACAGCTGGAGTTCCGCAGTTGCCCACCCCTGCCCTAGAGGGAGCGTTGGCATCCCACAGTGCACATTAAAGTCTTTTGTGGGACCTTATCGCATATGAACCAGTTGACTTTTGGGGTCTTCCGTCTGGGATAACGCAGGGGAACTTGAAATGAATACGTTTATGTGAAATAAACTGTAAAGTATTGACTTAGGGCTTATTCACACCAAATGCAGACCAGATCTGCATGAGTTTCTGCACACGCAGTGCAGTGGGTTGTGCCGTGTTTTTGTCGCGTTTTTATGCGTTCCGGGCCGTTTATGGTAAAAGAATGGGCTTTTAGTGCGTTCCAGGGCGTTTGCATGTGTTTTTGATGCATTTGCATGCGTTCCAGAGCAGGTAAAATAGGGCTTACTGCAGTTTTTTTACATGCTCTGGAACTGAACGCTGCGGTGTACCATTGGAATACATTGGACGCAGTTTTGATCCGCTCTGTAACTGCTCCGCTCTGCTCCTGGAAAGCGCTTGGTATGAACAAGTCCTAAGCACTGCTATTACACAAGGGCAATGTTTTTTAAATCCGTTTTTATAATTGCTTTTTTGAAGGAAACTTCGGCACGATGCATATTTTTTGACTGTTAGCCCAAACAAAAGTTGGGGTTGCCATTTCTTTGCTCTGAATTGCCTCTTTACTTCGAAAACAGCATCATGCAGTCTTGGTCCTGCTCTGCTTTTACAATGTAGTGCAGGGGTCGGCAACCTCGGCACTCCAGCTGTTCTGCAACTACAAGTCCCATGAGGCATTGCAAGACTGTAAGGGCACACAGGCTGACTCCCAGAGACAGGGCATGATGGGATTTGTAGTTTCACCACAGCTGGAGTGCCAAGGTTGCCTAGCCCTGATGTAGTGGATGAAAACCAGGTTACCTTTTCCCATTGTAAGTTTCTTTGCAATTTAAAACAAAACTTTTTGCAGTACTAACACAACATAAGCACTTGCCACCAATACACTAGACTTTCCCATTAACGTAATGACCTGTAGAAAAAAAACATTCTAGGAAGAAATAGAATGAAAATGCCTATATTGTCCAACACAAAAAAAAGGATCGGAACTGATTTAACCCCAATGAAAGAAGAATTAAAACTGTAGTATTTTTTATCAGGGTCATCCCTATAATGAACCAGTCTGAGGTGGTCACCTCAGGCGGCATCGCATTGGGGGGGCAACAGGTGTGGGGGGAAGGCGGCAGATGGGCAGGAACAGCGTCCCAGTTTGCTAAGAGCTCTTAGGAACCTGCGACGCTCTGTCCGGCTTCCCACCCGGATCAGTGATGTCATCAGTTGCCAGGGCGCTGACCGGGATGCTCTGGCTGGCGTCCCGCCGTGCTCCTTGCAACCAGTGATGTCAGTGAGCTGGATGGGACTGGACAGAGAGTCCCTGACAGCACAGCTTTAACACGGCTGGCTGTCAAACCGCCCCATCCCCCC